AGTTTGTCTGATGATACAACAGACTTTGTTATAAGAAATCTCCCCAAACACTTAGTAGAGATTAAAGATTGTGATTTTTCTAAATCCAAACGTCAATATCCTGACAAAGTGAGGACATTAAAAGAACACATGTTTTTTTGTCGTTTGCCAAACGGCGAAATTAAGAAAAGAGAGTGGCTTATGTACTCCAATACTACCGGCTGCCTGTATTGTGTCCCTTGCAAATTATTCCACTCTAATATTGAAAGTTCTTTTTGCAAGGGATTCAATGACTGGAAGAATTCTAATCGACTTAAAGAACACGAGAAAAGTGCGGAACATCGGTTGAATACAAAAACTTTTGTCTTACGAGGCAATGTTTTAGGAAAAATTGATTCGGCACTACACAAGTCTACCTTAAGGAAGTCGAGTATTGGCATCGAGTACTACAACGAGTAGTAGATGTTACCAAGTTTCTCGGCACCCGTGGCCTAGCTTTTCGAGGGAGCAAAGAAATATTTGGTTTTCTAGGAAACGGCAATTTTATGGGAGCATTAGAGCTGGTCGCAGAGTATGATGATTTTTTAAAAACCCACATTGAAAACAAAGGAAATCCAGGATCTGGCAATGTAAGCTATCTTTCTAAAACTATATGTAACCAATTCATTGATTTGATGTACAAAAGGGTAGTTTCTGTTATTGTAGATGAGTTGAAGAAAAGTAAATACTATTCGCTCAGTGTTGATTCCACACCAGACATCACTCATTCAGACCAGTTGACAGTGATCCTACGTTATGTTTTAAGTGATGGATTGCCCGTGGAAAGATTTGTTGCTTTCATTAAACTCCAAGGTCATACTGGAGCACACATGGCGGAAGTTATTTTAAATACCCTGTCAGAGTTGGATGTTCCAATATGCGATATGAGAGGCCAGTCATATGATAATGCCTCGAATATGTCAGGCAAATACAAAGGTTTGCAAGCTCTAATAAAAGAACATAACAATTTAGCTGAGTACGTTCCATGCTCCGCTCATTCATTAAATCTAGTAGGCACACATGCGGCTGATTGTTGTTTGGCAGTTACAAAACTATTCATGTTCATTCAAGAATTTTACGTTTTCATGAGTGCATCTACTTCAAGATGGGCAGTATTAGAAACAATTGTCAAAAATAGCAGTAGCGATAAGAAACTCCTTCCAAAAAGGGTTAACGTGACAAGATGGGCTGCCAAATGGCATGCTGTGAAAGCCCTTTTGCTCAACTATTGGAGCTACTACGATGCTATAAAACAACTATCTGATGATACGGGGGAAACAAATGTGAGCCGAGCTGAAGCTAAAGGAATCAGCAAACAATTTCTGAAGCTTGAGAATGCTATTTTATTAAACATGTGGTACGATATTTTAGAACGTTTTGACAAGAGTAGCAAAACATTGCAAAACCCTGCTACAGACTTGAATTTGACCTGCAACATATATAAATCTCTAAAAGAGTACGTATTGAGCCTGAGAGACAACTTTGAATCATTCGAAAAAAGAGGAAAAGAGTTGTCTAAAAATGATGTCTACATTCTTGACGATGTTGAAATAAAAAGACGACCTAAAAGGAAAGCTCTCTCTATTGACGATAAAGAAGATGGGCCCCACCTCAATTTTGATGGCAAGGCAGACTTAAAGATCAACACATTCAATGTTGTAATTGACAGGCTGTATTCAGAACTGAATAAAAGATCCAAAGTTTATTTCAATCTCAATGAAGAATTCGGATTTTTAAACAACTTATCGTCAATTTCGAATGAGGACATCAGGGAAAAAGCTTCAATTTTGGCCAAAAAGTATCACACTGACATAGATGATGACTTTGCAGAAGAATGTGTGCAGTTTAAAAATTTTGTTGGAGGTATGTTTGATGACGGAAGAGAACCCCATGATAACAAGACTAACAAGCATTCGAGAAATCCACTTTTGGATTATCTGCAACTCATTCGTGAAAAACAGTTGACAACACTTTTTCCAAATCTGGACACAGCTCTGCGCATCATACTATGCATGATGACATCTAATGCATCAGGAGAACGATCATTTAGCGTCTTGAAAAGAATCAAGAACTTCTTGAGGAACTCAATTTCTGACGATGAATCTAGATTGTCTAGTTTAGCTAGTTTTGTTGCAAATGCTGAACTTTTTAAATCCTTAGACTTTAAAGATTTGATTAAAGATTTTTCAGCCGAAAAAGCTAGAAAGGTTAGTGTTTAGTATGAGATTTATCATACCATACGTATGGAACTTGACATTTATGTTATGAGAATTTGACATTGAACTAAGTAGAAGTTAGTTTGTTGTGTTATCATTCCTTATCATAATTTACTTTTTACGTGCTGAAGCCTATTACAGTTCAAATGATTTTGATTTTACTCTTAATGTCTGTCCAGTTAAATATTTGTTTGGTCTTTTGGTGTCATCTATACATTTTTTCCGAAATGAAACAAGCGCTATTTCGTTTCAACAATTGAGCTTTAACACTAATATTTAAATATGTGTTTAAATCAAAGATATGTGGCATTACTATTCATTTATGTTACGCGTTTTACGTTTTAAGATTTAAAAAAAACTGTATGTATTAACATTATTATTGTATTATTTATTGTAAAAAATATGCTTTGTGCTTCAATTCCATAATCATTAGGTTAAAGAAAACAACGTACAGTAATTGCTAGCGCCAATCAATGTTTACAAATTTTTTATTTTTATCTTCAAGGAATTCATACTACTACATTATTTAAGAGATTTTAATAAAAAATAATTGGATTTTAAAATTCAATTTGCGTTTTTTATTTTAATTGCTATTCTTTGTAATGTTAATTTAAATAATTAAAAATACGTTATGTATTTTTGTGAAAAAAAGTTTTAATTCTATAATTGCTAGGTTAAAGAATACAATGTAATTGCTAGCATTCATCTATGTTGTCTAATTCGTATGTTTATGTATGTATATGTTTACGATATCATATCCGTGCTACTAAGAGATTTATATAAATAAAGAGATTGTACAGTTCATTTTCAATTTTAATTTTAATCGTTATGTTTATACGATTTGATAGTAAAAAAATGTTTTGTTATATACTATTGTGAAAAATATGCTTTGTGCTTTTAGTTCCATAATTATTGTTATATTAAGGAAGGTTAAAGAATACAATTTTGTTTTCCAATAGGAATTGTATGTTTATCTTTTGATGCTACTCACTTGTTAATGAGATTGAAATAAATAAAAGATTGCACAATTCATTTTGAATTTTTGACTCGTCATTGCCGACCGGTCCTTCACGATACTTTTAGGCCTATTAGTGTTGCTTCCGTGTAAGCCTCAGTTCACTTAACATAAATTAAATTTTAATTTGACATAGCACTTATTTGACAGTTTATACTAAAATTATTGTTTAATCCTATTTGAAATGGCCGAAACGGGCAATTTTTAAATGCTATAAACATAAACTATTAACACTTAGTGTTTTCTTAACTTTTATAAATCGTAAAAATGCGTTTATTATTGGAGAATAGGCAACAGTAATGTTTATTAAATATTATTTTTAAATATGTGAGTGTGTGTTTTAGGGCGTTCACGAAAAAGTGACACTGAAGTATAGTTGGATAGTAGAAGTAGAAGAGTTTCGCGAGTGAACAGCAAATAATAATTAGCCTCTCTCACTAGGTTGGTAAGACCAAGAACTATAGTAGGCCTATGTGGGATGTTCCACCTATGAAGGGGGGCCTCATGAGGTTTTTGGCCTAGGGCCGCTAGTAACCTAAATCCGGCACTGCACGATTGTTTTCCAATCTAGAACAGTGCCATGTTGACCAAGGATGGAATGTGGTCCAAATAACAATCTCTGGGGTTTTGCACAAGAATCACTATTTTAAAAATAGGTTTCCACATCAAAATCTCAGTGTTAATAGCCTCAGGAATAATATTTACTAAAATGGCATAGTTTAATTAATGTTATAAGCACAGCTGCTCATTCATTGTTGCTTTACTTATAGTGTGAAAACGAAAGAAAATTGGGGTGCTCTCATTGCCTCACCTTGTATAACGAAACCGAAAAAAAAAAAAATTATACTTCTCATTCTAAAATCAATTAACACTGTCACACTAAGCTTTACGGTTGCAATAACAATAGGACCTGGATGTTTAATTAATACTACATGCCTGCATATGTCGTATGTTTTCTTAGTGAAGAAAGTCTTTTTACTCAGAACTCTCATTAATCCGAAACATACTTAAAAATTCTTGGTAATCGACATTGCAATGTAGTCGTTATCAGATATCTGCTCAATACTCAAATTTGATTTGTGTTATGTGACAGGATTCTCGTGTCTAACTATGAATAATGGGGACTATTGGATAGAATGAGAATATTTCTTTGCTTGATTATGATTGATTATAAGCCAATTTAACTTACATAACTGACTATTTAGTATTTAAACTTTTTTTTCTTTCAGCCATGGAAGATCAAGGCACTGCACAGCGCTCAACCGACGGTCTGGGTCCAAGTCAAGCATTGGTAGCAGGAACTCGGAGAATGTCTGCGCAGTATCTGGAGACCAATGGTATCTCTTCGTAAGAAGTTTCGCTACACTCCATGATTTGAAGGGTGGGATATTTTTCAGGGTTCCTTGGATAAACAAACAAAAAAGGCTCACTGTTCTTTATTCCTACATTTGACGTACATTTCACACCAAGGGCTGAATATGAGGCTTTGCAAACTCATACAAGCTTAAGGAAGCCTGTTTTGGCTCACAGATTGCTTCAATAATGGCAACGAATTAACATTATGATTTTGATCATTCTTACTCAACATAAAAATGTTGAAAATATTTGTGTGTTATGTAAATTCCCTACAGCAAAATTATAAGTCTTCTTGAAAATCAGTCTAGGATTATTGGACAAAGTATGTTTATTTTTGCTACATTATTTATTGAACACATCTGAAATATAAAAAAAAACTGTCAATGAGAGGAAGTTTTAGGATTCAACTCAACCCATTTACACTAGAGTCAATATTCAATGTTTTTAAGTTTGCTGTTTTGAAATCATTCAAATTAATTTTGGGTCAATGGTGTTATTGTGGCTCTTTGCAGTCTGAAACAGGAGAGTAATTTGCTTCAAAGAGTTTTCAAAAAGCTAAGTTCCTCTATCTTACCCCCCCCCCCTCCTCTCACCTGATACATACCTCCTTTGAATTCCGCTTAAGATCATGCAAAAATTCTATCTCAAACCATAAAATGTAGGAGAAACATTGTCAAGGCAATTTTCAAAATGTTATCACTCTCACTCACCACAACTAATAGGTTAGCTAATTTTAGGTTAGCCTAGGAATTGTGGGAAAATAATCAGAGTCCAAATTTATTTATTTACTTGTATTTATTTATATCCTCTTTAACCTTCTAGCATTTGTGTGT